CCCCAAAACCCCAAAACCCCAAAACCCCACCACGAACAAATTTAGTTGAAAATAGCTGTGATAAGACTAAATTATTTTAACGTGTAGAGAAATTGGGATTTAAGGGGCTCTAGAAGCGGGAATTGGATAAGGAGAATTGCCGCCGAGTGAGAATTTTGGAACTGGGCCTGTAGAGTTTGGAGGGACGAGGGAGAGGGTCTTTAGAGTGGGAGGTGTTCATGGCTGGAGGGTGAGGGGTGGGGCTTACATGTGTAGGAGTTTTGGGGGAGGGATTGTGAGGGGACTTCGAGGTTGAGAGTGTAGTTGGAGAGATTGGGGTTGTGTTTCTTGTATAAAGCAGAGGAGTTTCGTTTATTTTACACTTTTGAAAGAGAATGGGGTGAATTTTTCGGCTTGTCTTCTGAAATTTTTGAGGGATTCGTTAATTGTATTTGAAAGTGAGTCCTACATTCATAATTAAATGAGAAAAGGGTTTGAATACGTTTTTATAAATAACTGGACTTCCAATAGTTTGCATGACCAATCTGCAGGCAGGAAGATCTTTGTATTCAGACTGGATGAGAGAATCTCATGCTCTGAATCTTTCTCGCTTTACTCCATCTGGTGTGAAACCATTCGCAGGTGTTGGATTGATCAAAATTCAGTCTTTGAGAGGCTTACAGTATATTGTTAATTGGAGTAAGTTTAGAACCGCAAAACGAAAGCAAACAATAATTTTAAATAAACTATCTAAATCATAAATAAACTATGATTAAAAAAAATCATCAGCTTGAACATCTTTGAATATGAATAAAGCATAAAAATTTACATCTTTTAAAGGAAATCCTACATCAAATTTTCCCTTTCAGGGCTCCCTTACCTTAATACCCTTAGGCATAACTCCGATTAGAAGATCTTTCTTTGGCTTCTAAATGTATTGTGACTCCATTTATTTTGGAAAAATAAAACTTGCTAAAAATCCTTACTCTTTTCCTCTTTCTCTTGTTCTCTGAGATTATAGTCTTTATATAATTGAGCTGACTCTCCTTGCCTCGAAGTTCTACAAAAATAAGTCAAAAGAGCATTCTTAAGCATAGTCCAGATACTTACAAATTTCTGAACAACAAAGAAATAACGACTAAATTTCACGCATTTTCATCTACAGAAACAAGCAAATTTAAAAAATACCACCAACAAAACCCAAATAGCCCACATAACATCAAATCCCCCTCTAAGTATCTCCCAACTCCCTTCTTTACCCTACCTTCATCACTAATCTTCAGGCTCACTACGCTATCATTCTTGACCAATCTCTGGTATATGACCTTTCGGCGATTCTGTTCGTATTTGGAGTGGAGAGTGGTCTGGGAGGGGTTGAGGTGGGAGTTTCTGGTGTTCATGTGGAACTTGAATTGGTTTTGTTTTAGAAGTTTGTATGGGGGAGTTTTAAGGAAGTTTTGAGGGGTTTTGTAGTTGTTTTGAGATTTGGGTTCTCTTCTGGTGCTAGAAGCGGTTTTAAGCTTTCTTTCTATGAGGTTTTAGGGATTTAATTTACTTGGCAAGTCTTTTAAATATTTAGAAGGTATTATTAATTTCTTTTTATTTTTATTTATGTTCTCATCTGAATCACATGGTATGTCGCTATTGAGTTTCTATTGAAGATTTTTAAGAAATTCCTTCCATTGAAACTCTTTGTTTCTTACCTTAGCAATCTTTTTATTACTATTGACCAAAGAATAATGGTTGTATCTGTACTTTAATCTCTTTGAGGTCTTTCTAGATACATTTTTCTTCTTTCCAATCTTTCCTGTTTCTAACATTTTGTTTCAATTAATTAATACAATTTTGGGGTTTTGGGGTTTTGGGGTTTTGGGGTTTTGGGG